GAGAAGGGAGAGTCTGGCCTGTCACAGGGGAGAGATAAACAACGCCTACCAGAGAGAAACAGTCGCTATCAGAAATCAGTAACAGCGAAAATGCTGCTGGGAGATTTATTTTTTTTTTTTTAAACACTCTGGTCAGTCATAAAGGGCTGGCAAATATTCTCTGTATTCTCAAATTCTATTCTGGCATAAACACCAGCCCTGGGGAAATGCCAACCTTAAATGGTAACTGTGAAACACGGGGAAAGATTTAAATAGCTAAACTGGAATGAATCAGAAGTAAATACTGCCCCAGAGCTGATGTGAACGGGAAAGAAGAATCTGAGATTTTACAATTAAAGCAGATAAGGGAATGGATCAAGCAAAAGGCTTGGGTGTGAAATGGGGCACATAGATTAATGCCACTACTTTTTGTGTAACTTATTCAGGTGTTAGTGGAGCTTCTTTAGAGGAAGAAGAGGCTACTCCAGAAAACAGGATGAAGGAGGAAGTGGTTTTCTTTCTTAGTGTCCCTAGCAGGGCACAGGAGTCAGGGTAGCAAATCATCTTGGCAAGTGTGCAGACTTCTGATAAATCTCAGCATGAGAGGCAAAATGTAATTTTAACTATTCTGAGGCCTCACTCAGGTTTCCCATTCCTTAGCTATTCCCAGCTGATGCAAAAGAAACTCAGTTTTCATGATCTGTCTGATCAGCACACCACATCCTTACAGGAGATGAAGGGAGAGTTGGCTCCGAGTAGGAAAACCTCAACATGGGTGGAGGACCAGCCAACTGAACCAGCAATTTAGAAAGCCCTGGAAAGACATCAGTGCTGAGGGAGACCTCGAGCAGCTTTGGTGGTACCATGCAGAAAGCTGCTGGATCTGCCAGTGCTACCCGCAGCTGGATGCTGAGGCGAATGCCAGTGGACTGGCATTGCTTCCAGAGGGGACTTCTCAGGGCAGCAGGAGGGCAGAGAGATACATGGTTTGCCCACAAGAAGCATAACTATGGCAGGCTGTTTATCCCCCTGCTACTCCCGTGAGCAGCCGAACTGGTGGAGAATTCAATGATTACTGAGGTGATGGGAACACAAGTGCCACCCCTGAATCCCTGGTGCAGGTCTGTGGGCTGCTGACTCTTCATGATAGTGGTCCTGACTCCTTCCCAAACCTGATGAGACTACAGGCTTGGGCAGTAATGCACAGTGCCCCTGTATGAATGGGAATGTGGTGACTTCCCACTCTGCATTTTAGTTAATGTTTTCTCTCCTTATATCCAAAAGAAATAGTTACTGTTTTCCTTAAAAAAATGCATGCCTTGGACACTCACTCTGTGTTGTCCCTTTCTTTGCAGATGCAGTCATGGAGTTCATGGCAGATGACCCCAGGATGAAGACTATGGCATGTCCCCCAGCCAACAGTCCCTTGGTGCCCTCACCCAGTTCCAGCTAAGTTCTCACCTGCTGTAAAGATTTTTTCACAAAAGGCAAAGGCAGTCCCTGGGCTGCGTAGTTACCCATCAGACACCGCAGGGAAGGACCCAGCGCCTCAAATACCAAGCACACATGTGGGAAACAGACAGTGCTCA